CGAATCCTCTATGTACAAGTGTCTCCTCGTGGGAATGGCTTGTGTGGGCTCTTCCCGCATGGCTTCGGGGGTGCGGGGCCCGGGGGGGCGCTCACTGGGGCAGCAGCGGCGGCTTGAAGGAGCAGTTCCCGGTGCAGTGCCGCGGGGTCAGCATCTTGCAGGAGAAGTGGTGCAGCGCGTCGTGAGCCTCTGCAAGGGACCGAGCTGTCACCTCCCCCGGAGCCCCCCCGGGCCGGGGAGGGCCCCTGTGACACCTCCGTGCCCCCCTCCCCCGGTACCTTTTAATTTCTGCTGGATGGCGTAGCGCGCTTTCCTCTCCTGGTCCAGCTCGTTGCACAGCGTGTCTGGGATGGGGAGCGGGGCTCAGGCTCCCCCCGAGGGGCCGAGCCCGCCCCGGGGGCACCCGCGGGGGACGGGGGGGACACGGGCACGGCTCTCCCGGCTGCCCACGGAAGGCGTTTTAAGGCCGGGAGGTTTTCATTTAGCGAGAGGGAAGGTGAGTTGGCAGCCGAGTGAACGGCGCCTCGCAGCTTTTTGAGGGGCAGCTCGAAATCGAGAGAGGAATTGGAGGGCGAGAAACGGTACAGAATGAAACAAACAAAAAAAAACAAAAACAAAAACAAAAAACACACCAAAAATACAAAAAAAACCCCAAAAATACCAAAAGAAACCCCCAAAAATACAAAAAAAATCAAAAAAACCCCAAAAAACTCCAACAAACCAAAACCACCAAAACAAAAAAAAAAACCGACCAACCAAACAAAGAACCCCAAAGCAAGCGAACAAAAAACACCCTTAAAAACCAAAATATAAACAGAAAAACCCCTGACTCGAACAAACAAACAAACAAAAAAACCCCCACATAAATAAATAAAATTAAAATTTTTTCAAAAAGAAAATAAATAAAATAAAAAACAACTAAAAGTACCAATGGGCTCGGCCTTACCTCGGACGATCTGTAACTGCTGCACCATCTCTTCCCGGTACGCCAGCTCCCGTTTCATCTGGTCCTGGAAGTTATCTGTGGGGCCGGGGGTCAGCACCGCGCCCGCTGCGGGAGCCGCCCCCGGCCGGGCGCAGGGGATGGGGCACCGCTACCTTTCAGGCTCTGGAAGTCCCTCTCCAGTTTTTTCCTCAGCTCCATTTGCTCCAGGACCAGTTTTTGTAACTCATCTGTTTAAAAATACACGGCGGGGTTGAGGGGAGCCCGCACTTTTCCATCTGGAGGCGGCTCGGCGCGGCGCTAATCGCATTAGGTTACATTAATCACAGGAGTTAATCACTCCTGCACAAAACACAAATACCTCGAGCGGCGGGGAGAGGCCGGGGGGTGCCGCGACCCCCGCCCCGCACCCCGAGCATCGCTCCTGCCTCACCTCGGGCCAAGTTCTCGATGTCCTTTTCCAGCAGCTGCGTCCCGGTGACATCCATGGCGAGCCCTTCCTCGCCTGCGGGAGGGGGCAAAGCTCCGTCAGCCCCCCCGGGGGACCCGCGGAGGGGCCGCGCATCGCCCCGCGGAGCGGTGCTTACCTCTGTCGGTATTTACAGGGCTGGCATGAGAGACATTCCTTTGGTCCTGATAGGATTTTCTGCTCTCTAAATCCTCTGCCGCGGAGTGATTGTCTTCTTTATCTTGCTCTTAAAAGTTAATAAACGGATTTTCAACCATAAGCAATGAAAGTATGGTCCTGATATATCCTTAATTACATAATTACGGACAAAGCCCTCGTTAAAACCTTCTTAGCGGACATCCTAATCGCTTTGCCGTTGGAAAGTAGCTTGT